CATTAACTGGGTGTGGTGTACACTCACATAACCCCTGCAGATGAGGAGAAATAGACAGAGGACTGAGAGTTTGAGGCTACCTTTGGCTACATAGCAAATTAGAGGATAGCTTGGGATTTATGAGGGCCTGTCTTAAGGGGAAAAAAACCAAACAAACCAAGCCAAATAAAACTACAACAAAGCTACAATAAACAAACACAACACCCTCCAAAACCTAAAACTGTAATCTTTTTTTTCCCTTAGGCTGTTCTACTCTGTGTTTCTACACTGATTAAAAGGAAGGAGAACAATTTATGGCACACAGTTAGGTCTCTTGGACTTAGAGTCATGTTGTGGTTGTGCTTGTAGACTGATAAATCACCTGTGGTCACATGACCTTATGAATGTATGTGTTCTGTGTTATATACACGTGAGCTCAGGTGCACGTGTTTATATACATGAGATACATACGCGTATGCATGTGTGAGGGAGAGAATGAATGATCCTGCCACAGCTGTGAGCTGATGAAGGTCAGTACACTGCGGGTTCCACCAGGAGCCGCGCAGCAGCTGTCTTAGACCTAATGACAGAGTGGGAGTAAAGTGACAAAGAGCTTCCGTGATGAGCTGCGTCAGTGCTGGGGAAGACAGAGTCCTGCCCAGGAGCTTCCTTTGCTCTGGAATGTCTCTTGGTCCCAGATGAAGATCTCACTGGAGCTGGCTGAGTGTGTCTGTGCTCTTCCACTTCTGTGCTTAATAACAGCACACTGACAGGGCTAGGAAAGAGGGCTTCCAGTGTTTCATTTAGGAACACAGCCGCTGAGTTTCTGGTGTAGTGAAGTTGGAGTTTCTGCAAATTAACTTGTAGAGAGTGGATGCTGCCGGCTTGTGGACCTCTAGAAGGAGAGCTAACAGGAGTTTTACCAGAGTCTCTCTGCAAGCCTGCCTTTGACCAATTGTCACTTTTGTCTTCGGCCCTTTGCTGGCCTTGGAAGAAGCCCCTAAAGGCAAAGACCTGATCCCTTGAATTCCATTATCCAGCAGCACAGCCCTCCTTAAAGGGGAACAATAAAATAAAATCCGTGTTTGAGGGACAGTGGGAGAGTTGTAGCAATGCCTCTCAGGTGGAAATTGAGGAAGCTGCTCCTGAGAGTGGCTGCCTTCCTCAGGAAGCGTGGAGGATGCCGAGCAGTCTCTCTGAAGGCTCCTTCAGAGGACAGCACACAGTTGGCTTTTCTTGCCCTTATGGAGTGATGAGGGAAAAATGATGCATGGCTTTTAGCTGATGAGTCCACTTTGCAAGCCAGCAAGTGCCTACCTCCTCTGTGCTCCCTGTAGGAGCCAGAAGTAGGGCCAGAAGACACCTACTTAAATCAGAGGTATGCAGGCACTAGTGTCTTCCCTTTGCCTGCCCTATCTGTAGCAACACTGTGAGGGAAAGGCTTCATTTTTCTCCTCCTACCAGCACCTGCCACTTCTTAAAAGCGCCATGAAATAAAAGACATCTGTGTGTGGAAGCAAACCTCAGGGGGCCTCTGAGAATGCATTTATTTGCTTTTCTAAACCACTGACATTGCAAGTTAGAACCGAAGGCTGAGAAGCCACACTTGGTGCTTGATGTACAGAGACACGGGAAACTCAATGAGCCAGAATGGTCCCCACAGGGGACCGAGGCCTCAGGCAGGGTCGACATTTTTGTGGTCCTCACTTAGCCCTCTCCTAACTCCTGCTGGGGCTACAGAGGCCAAGGAGAGAGCTGAATAAATTAGAACTAACTCCGAATGTTTCAAAGAGCTTTTGGGAAATGGACTAAATTTCACAAATATCTAGAGAAGTTAGTATCATGTACCTTGATGGAATTATTAAAAAAATGAATCATATCCTTCTTTCCTTACCTTTTAGTTTTTCTCTTTCCCTCTCTCTCCCCATCCCCTCTTCCCTCTCTCTTTCCCTCCTTCCTTCCCTATATTCAAGTGTGCATGCTTGCGTGTGTGCATGTGTGTGCGTGTGTATGTATGTGTGTGTATATAAGCACAAGTGTGTGTATGCCTCACTATTCTAAAACCCTGGGTTTAGGTTTACAGATGCTCCTGGCTTCCTTTTTTACAAGGGTTCTAGGGATTCAAACTGAGACCCTCATGCTTGTACCACAAGCACTGTACCCGCTGAATCATCTCTCCAGCCCAAGCTGTGGCCCAGACTGGCCTCAAACTCATGATCCTCCTGCTTCTGCCTATTCAACATATTTTACCGACATGCATCACCATGACTGGCCAAAGCATGATGTGCTGATTATTTTCTCAATTCTTATTAGTTCTTTGAGAATTTTGGACAATATTGATCTTGATCATATTCAACTCCCTTCTAACACCTCCCAAGTCTTCCCATTTTCTTGCCCAACCCAGGTTTTGATAGTCATCTTGATTAGATTACAAAGCATCTAGGTTAGTGGAACATACTCTGGGGTCTATGAGCACATCTCCAGAAACCATTAGCTCCTGAGGGCTCCGGCCTGACTACTGGAGTAATTCTTAATGAATCTGAAACACCATGATATCATTGGGAGCGGTGAAAAATGGGAGTTGGAGCCTTTGAAGGAAGGAAGCCACTGGAGATGGATCCTTGGGGTTATAGTTTGCCTTCTGTTTTACCTCTGTCTCCTGCTTCCTGGTAACCATGATGTGAACATACCATGCCTTCCTTGTCGTTTCCTTTTGCAAACATGGCCCCAAACAAAGTCTTCTTCATTTAGGTTGCCTTGATCAGGGGTTTTACCACAGAGACATACAAACAACCAGACGCACAAACAGCCTAGAAAGCTCTTCCTGCGTAGATAGTGAAACTAAACAGCTGTGTGTGCGTTTCTATATAAACACAGTTAACTTTTTCTGCGGTTCATTTGAGCTAAATAAAACATAAAATACTTTATGCAAAAAGCAATATAGTATATGAAAGGGATCTGAGTCTAAGGAAGTTATCAAACCATCGAATGTGTCCTGTGCTCAGAGGAAGTCGCCAGTGGAAACACGTCACACTCCGTGGTTATTAAGGGTTGGTTCTAACCCTCTTTTCTCCTTGTAGGTGACGTTACACTTATGATCCAATCTCCAAATCCAGAAAAGAAAGAGCATTTATCAAATTCCTGCTGTGTGCCAGGCTTGCGTAGAGGATGCTCACAAAGACAAAGAAGACACTGGAAAGCAGCGGCTCTTTAAATCCATATATGTTTAGCCCATTTGTCTAACTCTCAAATTGGATAATTACTCAAAAAAGTTCTTTTTCATTTTTGTCAACTCCATTGCTCTCCCTTTAAGAAAGGGTTTGGCAGGGATTCCCTACATTGCACATGCTTTAGAAATGTAAAATGGGATAGCCAGGCTGGAGTGAGGATCAGAAAAGGGAACACACCATCTGAGAAACTACAAGCACTGCCCCTAGGAAGGTGAGGGTGGTGGTGGTGTCTAGCCAACATGATAGTAGACACAGCCTTGGCCCAAGGGCAATGGGAATAGAATAAACCATTGGAGATCACACAGCACAACACTTCCCTCACTAAGACTTTTAGAGAAGGTATGTGTATGTGCATACGTGTGTGTGTGTGTGTGTGTGTGTGTGTAGGAGGCCACCTGTTCACTCCAGCTGCCCAGAATGGAAATAACACAGAAACTATATTCTTTAAATCACTACTTGACCCATTAGCTCTAGCTTCTTATTGCCTAACTCTTACATCTTCATTTAACCCATTTCTAATAATCTGTGTATCACTACCAGGCTGTGGCTTACTAGCTAAAGTTCTGGTATCTATCTCCGGTAGGACTACATAGCTTCTCTCTAACTCCACCTCCTTCCTCCCAGCATTCAGTTTAGTTTTCCCCACCTATCTCTATTCTACCCTATTAGATCAAGCCAGTTTTCTTTATTCATTAACGGTAATCACAGCATATAGAGGGGAGTCCCACATCAGTGCACGTCTGTGAGATGGGCACTTTCTGTACAAGCTAGAAGACCTGAGCTCACACCTTTAGAACCATGTAAATCTGGGTGCAGTGTTGCACATCTGCAATCCCAGTACTATAGTGAGATGGGAAGCCGAGATAGGAGAATCCCCCGAACTCAGGGGCCAGTGAGCCTGTTGTGCACAGCCACAAGCAACAAAGAAAAACCCTGTGTAATAAAGTGGGGGGTGAGGATGGATGCTGAGGTTGTCTTCTGACCTCCACAGGTGCACTGTGTCACACATGTGTCTGTGCGCATGTGCGCACACACATACACACATCACACATATGTACAAATCAATCAATAAATAACGAAAGAATGAAAACAGAAAAAGAGTTTGGAAGACTGTGAGTGTGTGTGTGGTATACACACAAATCAGTAAAAGATGTATGCATGTTACAATAATAGAATCTAGCATAATTTAACTGAGAAGGTAGGAGTCCTTGATTTTTCTCTCTTTTAGTGTCAAGACACAGTGGCATCAATGACACCAAAGATGCTGTGGACATCCACTTTTGTCCTCCCTCCTGGGAATGCACAGTGGTGAGGGAGGTGACTGGCACTTTGGGTCTTAGAGAAGTAGAGAATTTTTAAGTTAAGGGACACTACACTTTGGCCCCTGGCTATGTTGCAAACGTTGAGTTTCTTTCTCACCCAAGTTGCAAATGAAGGCAAAAAGAGATAGTTTGAGTTTGCTTTCACCCTATGTAATTCTCATTTGCTTTCTCTTTGGTTCCATTTTCCAGCCTGGGATATAGGGATTGTCTGACCTATTAAAACAAAGCAGAGTGCTATGGTAATTAAATAGCTAATTTTAGACCCCAAACTACTTTTCTGCCAATGGTCGGAGCATTTCAGACTGAGGTTTTGGAGGTATCTGGCTAATTGTAGCAATGTTTCACTTCCATCCATCCATCCACACTACACACAAGATGCCTTGGCCAAGGTGGCCTGGGACAGAGCTTAGCCAGAGGGAGCCTGGCCTGGCATTGTTTATTGACAAGAGGCAAACTTGTGGTTTCTTACAGTCTGTGGTGATTTCGTAGGGAGAGTTGAGTCTGGCATCTCCGCAGGGGGACGTGCTCACATAGAGATGGAAGAGGATGTTTTCTCGAAGCTTGTAGCCTCCTTCCTTTAAACGAACGAATATTGATCTCTCGGAGTCCTCTCGATGCTTGCTATGGACACAAAGAGGATGTAGGTCACTTACGACAAAACAAATGAAGATGTTCCAATAGGTGCTTGCTTTTGTCTTGTTTTGTGGGGTTAGCAGTCCCCCAGCTTCTACCTTCTCTATGCTCATATGCTGTTTGCCCCTTGCATGAACACTTTGGGAATAGGCCACAATGAAACTACCTGGGAACAAACACAACCAGAAGTAATGTTTCATCTCCATCTTCCCTGAGCAGTCACACTTTAGGTCTCTCTCTCTCTCTCTCTCTCTCTCTCTCTCTCTCTCTCTCTCTCTCTC